GATTTTTTGATGATGTGGCATGATGACATGGCATAATTTTATGTGAAAACCTTCCAACCAAAAAAAAAAAAAAAAAAAAGACTAGAATAGGGTGGAACCCAATGCTCAATCTCAAGAGTCTGGCACAGAATCTCGATATCTCTCAACCTTGAGAAGTAGAAGTCCCTTTCCTTCTCTAGACTATCCACAGACAGCTTCAACTCTGTGATTTGCATCTAAAGTATGTTATGCATCAAATTCTTTAAATTCTCAACATGGAAATTAAAAACCTATACGAATATAAGTACCTGCTCATCATAAGCACTCTTCATTGGACTAGATGGTTTAGATCTTTTCCCCAATGGATTTGCAGGATTTGATGAAGTAGTGTCATTCCTTCTAGCATTGTGAGAAGATGGGGGTTTGGCGGCATTTGTTGAGCCCTTGGTTGAGGGTGGAACCCAGAGTTGGTTTCCTTGTGGAACCCAAAGTGAAGGAACCCAACTTTGGGTTCCACGAGGAATTCGATCTGGGTTCCTCCTCATGAGGAACCCAGACAGGGACCCGATTTGGGTTCCATCTAGGTTCCTCACGTTGAACCTAATTTGGGTTCCTTGTCGAGGGACCCAGAGTTGGGTTCCTCACGACGAGGAACCCGATCTGGGTTTCTCACGAGGAGGAACCTAGACGAGGGACCCGATCTGGGTTCCATCTGGGTTCCTCACGATGAGGAACCCGATCATGAGGAACCCAGATCGGGTTCTTGAGGAACCTAGCTCTGGGTTCCTCGTCGAACACAGTTTGTACCTTTTTTTCACCTTTCTTTCCTATGATTCTTTCTGGTTTCGATAGAATAATAAGATGATGATTTGATTCTTTGATGAGTTCTCAACTTTTCTTGCAAGTGAATTAAAAGATTGTTCCTTTTTTTCCAATCTAAATCAACCTCCATTAGAACCATGGATGAAATCTTTTTCGATCTTCCATGGAGGCTGGTTCCATGAGGAACCCAAAAGCGACGACCTGGATTTGTCCATGCAGTGGGCTCTATTATGCACATGGTGTCCACGTGTGCAGAAAATAAGCCACATCCTCCAAAAAAAAGATCCACATTGGATTACTAACATCACATAGTGCCACATCAATTTTTGAGTGTCACGTAATGCATATTTTAACGGTACTGTGACAGCCCGTTAAAATATTAGGTTTTCTATGGATTTTGAAAAGTAAAGGATGTGAATAAAAAGAAAAAATTTTGAAAGGTGTTGATCGTGAAAAGAATTAAATGAAGGGTGCAAATAAAGATTTTGACCTTATTTAAATTGTAACAATAACTCCACCTATAAAGAAAAGAAAATGGAGGGTAAAAATTCTTTTATATGATTAATAAAAACTTTGCAGGAGATGAGAGAAAAAAAGTTATTTATTTTACCTTTTACTTTAATTCTTTCATTTAATTAAATAAAGTTTGCTTCTGAAAAATACGATAAAAGAATGGAAGTAATGAGAAAGTTTTTTAAGTAATCGGTGAAAGTGAAATTTTAATTAATTAGACCCAATTACTAAATATCATGACCAACGACGGGATTCAAAGCCCCGTACAAGAGTCGAAGTTGGCCTCGAAAAAATATTAAAAATAAGGTTGATGCTTTAAAAATAATTTTTTTCTTTTATTTTTTTATATAATTTTTATATTTTATTAAATAAATGAATATATTTAATATTATAAATTT